TTAGAAAGCTTATCCCCATCTCTTCCCTTCAAATCCAATTACAGAAAAAGAAGAAGGATAAAAAAGGAAAAGGTGATAAGTCTGATGATGAAAGCATATCAGGAGATAAAAAACAGGTAAGGCACAGGCACCTCTACTCCAACCAGAAAGCTAATGAGGATGACAGGGGTGGGGATGACCTCTGACCTGCCACACCTCTACCCACGTCACTCAGAGGGAGGGAATGGGTACCATAGAAAGCTTAGCCCCATTTCTTCCCTTCCACTCCAATTATAGAAAAAGAAGAAGGATAAAAAAGGCAAAGGTGATAAGTCTGATGGTGAAAGCCAATCGGAAGACATAAAACCGGTAAGGCACAGGCACCTCCACTCCAATCAGGGAGGTGGTAAGGATGACAGGGGTGGGGATGACCTCTGACCTGCCACACTTCTGCCCATGTCACCCAGAGGGAGGGAATGGGTACCATATTGGACTTAGAAAGCTTATCCCCATCTCTTCCCTTCCACTGCAATTACAGAAAAAGAAGAAGGATAAAAAAGGAAAAGGTGATGAGGAAGGTGATGAAAGCAAACCAAAAGATAAAAAAACGGTAAGGCACAGGCACCTCCACTCCAACCAGAGGTAGGTGGTAAAGATGACAAAGGTGGGGATGACCTCTGACCTGCCACACCTATGCCCGCTTCACCCAGAGGGAGGGAATGGGTGCCGAATTGGACACAGAAAGCTTAATCCCCATCTCTTCCCTTCCACTCCAATTACAGAAAAGTAAAAAGGATAAGAAAGGCAAAAGTGATAAGTCTGATGATGAAAGCAAATTGGAAGATAAAAAAGCGGTAAGGCACAGGCACCTCCACTCCAACCAGGAAGGTGGTGGTGAGGATAACAAGGGTGGGGATGACCTCTGACCTGCCACACTTCTGCCCATGTCACCCAGAAGGGAGGGAATGGGTACCATAGAAAGCTTAGCCCCATCTCTTCTCTTCCACTCCAATTACAGAAAAAGAAAAAGAAGAAGAAGAAACGCAAAGGTGATGAGGATGGAGACGAAAGCCAACAGGTAAGGCACAGGCACCTCCACTCTATCCAGGGAGGTGGTAAAGATGACAGGGGTAGGGATGACCTCTGACCTGCCTGCCACACCTCTGCCCATGGTACAAAGGCATATTGGTCTTCTCTGTGGCTCATAACATGAGTGATCGTGAAATATATCCATCTGGATTACATTTGAGAGTGAAAGGTAGGGTATTACCTACTAATCAGAACAATGATCAGAAACCAAGAGTGCTCCAGGCCTAACCAGAACAAATGATTGCCCTCTACAAAGCTAGAATGAATCGGGATTGAGTCATTCTTGGGCTGTCTTCTCCAGTTGCCTTAGCAACCTCACAAGGGCAAGTGACTAAGACAAGCAGTCTTAGCTATAGGGAGGAGAAACCCCAGAGTGAGAAGCAGACCATGCAAACTTGGAGAGTTGGGGCGGTGAAGGCTGAGTTTGGGGAATGCATAACCAAGCAAAAGGAACCCCAAGTCCAGAATTGTGTGGGTGAGTGTAAAAGCACATGTGTGTGTGTGTGTGTGTGTGTTGGTGTGTTAACTGAGAACCTAGGTTTAGGAACCAAAAGAAGTGAAAGTGAGAAATAGACAAGAGAAGACCCCAAATTGTATGGAGCAGGGAAACTTTTAATGTGAGGACCTAGCAGAGAGGGAGGAGCATGTTGTAGATTGAAGTGGAGTCAGGAAAGAGAGGGCAGGACAAGCAAAGGGGAGGACATTTCCCCCAGAAGGTGGGAGGGTGTGAAGGCGAGACGTTGGGTGCCCAGTAGATGGTCAGGCTCAAGTGGATCATATGGATTTACAGGATTGTCTCAGCCAACCAGGTCCATGGCAAACCAGTTTTTGTATCAAGAGCAGGTGAAACCACATTATATAGATGGGGTATCTTTTGAGCCTCAGATATGGATATGAAGTGTGTATGTATATTAACTGACATAGCAGAAGGAGGCAGTCAGAGGCCAGGGACACTTGCTTGGTGTCTCCTGTGTCCAGATGTGACTCTATCCAGTGCTCATGAACTTCAGACAAAAGGATGATGGTTGACAGAGGATAAGGGGCCCTTTCCCCACACACCCTGTAGTTGATATTGGCAGAGAATATGTCCTGAGTATCATTTCTTTTCCTTGAAACTTTTCCTTGAAAATATAGCCTCCTTCTGACTCTGAGCTCAAAGCCACAAAGATCCAGGCCTGGTGGCGGGGCACGCTGGTGCGCCGCGCGTTGTTACATGCTGCTCTGAGAGTTTGGATCATTCAGTGCTGGTGGAGGAAGATAATGATGACTCTGCAGGAAGAGAAGCAAAAGGCAGCATTGCTGTTGTACATACAGAAAATAAGGGCCATTGTGAAGCTGCAGTCCTATATACGAATGTGGCTTGTTCGACAGCAATACTCTCGATTATGCACTGCTGTTCGCATTACCCAGGATTATTGGCGTAATCATGCTCACCCGGCCCCTGGATTTTTCCAGGGCAGCTATGAGCTCAGAGAAAATCAGCTAAAACTTCATCTTGACATTTCTATGGGATCACACATTTGTCGGATCACAGATTGCATCCCCTTCCCAATAAAGAACTGACCAGGTCTGCTCCAAATATGTGTCACTAGATCTTTGTTAGACAAGCTCCTGGAGGTCTGCATCTCAGCAAAGGGCCAGGAAAATGATGGAAGGTACAAAGCATCTTACATGATTACTTGGGGGAATCAGCAGGGTGTGTCTGGAGTGCTGGAGTCATAAGAGGGTGAGATGAGAGCCCATGCTGGAGAAGCAGGGCCTGAGATCCATCAGCAAGGTCTGCCATAGGTGGGAGGGTTGGGGTTGCAGGGTGGCCAAGGAGACCAGCTCCAGGGAGACTCCTTCACTGTGGTCTATGCAAATGACACCCCTATAGTTGTACAGTGTGGGGGTCTCTGCCATCCTTTGCCCTTCATCCTCCAATACCTTCCCACTCAGTTTAGAATAAGTTTCAAAAGCCCTTCCTATGGTCCACGTGACCTGGCATGCTCTGGTTCTAACCATTGCACCCTCTGCCAACATCCTCCTCCAATGCTCTGCTATCCATCAAACACCCCAAGCAGAAGATCCCAAGTGTATCCCATCTCAGAGCTTTGCACTTGCCACCTGCAGCCCTATGGTGTCCTCTGCACAAATGCTCCCTCTGAGGGACTTCCTTTGTCCACCTGATGTACATGTCTTTGCTTGCCCACCTCTTGTTGGCTCTAGCTGATTAGCAGCTTTCCTGGGTGCAAAGTCCTCAACAGGACCTGAGTTTATATTACCTCGCTGCTTGTCTGTTTTCTCCCTCCCACTAGAGGTAAGGCACAGCTGCTCATTGGGGGACTCTTTTGGCTCCGCCCACGCGGCCCAGCCAATCAGCCTCAAGAGCGGAAGGAGTGTGGGGGATTGAGAAGCTCACCGGAAGCCGGTGTCGGCAGTTGGGCTCTGAGGGAATTCCTGAAGAGCTCGTGTGGTGCAGCGTGTGTGTTCTAAAAATAAAGTTCATTTCTGCTTGATAAGTAGCTCGTGAATTGTGCCCAGCCAGACTGTGGCATTAGGGGAGCAGGACTTTGAGGCTAGGACCTGGCAAATTGCCTCACACTGAGTGGTTCTCTCTCTTGCAACTAGCCAGTCTTAAGCCATTTGCCAGGCCTGCCTTCCCTTTCTATGGAAATGCCTGGGCTCTCCCCTTGCTCACAAAACCTGGAGCTCTCCCTGAGACACTGTATGCACACCTCCACCCCATCTCCCAGACTTGTGAGTGCAATGAACTGTTTTCCAGAGATACTATTGTGTCCCCTTTTGTGGCTTTATTGACCATCACTTAGAAAAACACCGACCTCGCTGGGCATGGTGGTGAGAAACTGATGACTCCATTTTTAAAAATAAATAACAGCAGCTTCTACCTCAAGGCCTGTCCTAAGGAAGGGGGAGTGACCCTTGTCCTTGGAAAAACCCACAGAACACTCCTAAGCACATACCTACCCTGCTGAGTTGTTTGTCTGTAAATAACAGAAGAGGTCTTCGGCACCAGGTGTCCCTGACTCAGGCTAGGTGAGGACCCATAGCAACCCCCTAGCAACCTCCAATCAGCATGAGACAGAGAAAATACCTGGGATGCCAGATGACCCCCCAGTAGTTTATGGGGGTTGATAACAAGTTGGGAAACCATGTAGTTCAGCACGTACACCCCTCATGGCCTAAACCAATCAGTTCAAACGAATCCCCCTGTTGTACTAACCAATCACCCCTACCCAACTTGTTCCTGCCAGTGAGTGTGCTAATCAATGTTAAGAGTTGTTGTTTGACTTTCCCGCAGTATGGAATGATTTGCTGTGTAATGTTGTGATGCATACAGTATCCCCCCAAAACCTATAAAATCTCACTGAACAAAGGACCAGGACTCACTCCCTGGGACCGCTGCGTCGGGAACGGTTGTGAGTCCAGGTTCGAACTTTCAATAAAGACTCTTGTGTGATTGCATCGGATTCGGCTCTTGGAGGTCTATTGGGGTCCCACGAATCTGGCATAACAGTGGCACATGCCTGTAATCCCAGTAGCATGGGAGGCTGAGACTTAAGGATCACAAGTCAAGGCTAGTCTGAGCAATTTAGTGACACCCTAAGCAACTGAGACCCTGTCTCAAAACAAAAAAGGATTGGGATGTAGCTCAGTGATAAAATTCCCCTGGGTTAAATCCCTAGTACCAAAAAAAATTTTTTAAATAAAATAAAAGCACCAACCTCTGCCTTGTATGTGTGTATATAGAATTGAAATGAAATCCACATAATGTCACATTTACTTTGAGAGTTACCATATTAACCATTAAAAAAAAAGAGTAACAAGTCAGTGACATCTAGTATATCCACCTGGTTAAGCAGCCCCCACCTATATTATGTTCTAAAACATCTTTATCACCCTAAAAGAAAATCCCATACGATTAAAGGAACATTCACCACTACCCCCTCCTCTAGGCTCTGGCAACTACCAATGTGCATCTGTCTTCACAGATTTACCTACTTTGCCTATTTTCTATAAATAGAGTCACACTCATATAGCATTTTCCCTTGCTTCTTTTGCTGAACATACTATTCAAGTTGTAATATGCATCAGTACTTCATTACACAGTAATATTCCAACATATGGATAAATCACATTATTTTTCTAAGTATCTATTGATGGGCATTTGAATGTTTTGGGCACCTTTGTCTAAGATAATTGTAATTTTTTGAGTTAGCCTGTGTGTCCTCTATTCTATACCATTGGTCTACCAGTCTGTTTTGGTGCCAATTCCATGCTATTTTTGTTTCTATTGCTCTGTAGTTTAGTTTAAGGTCTAGTACAGTGATGCCACCTGCCTCACTCCTTCTTGCCTAAGGATGGCTTTAGCTATTCTGGGTCTCTTTATTTTTCCAGATGAATTTCATGACTGCTTTTTCTATTTCTATGAGGAATGTCATTGGATACTTTAAAAAAAAAAAAGATGATGAATATAGAGCTGCTGAGGAACACCTAGACAAAGCTTGCTGAGAAAGCAGCTATAGAATAAAGTAGAGCCAAGACATAGAGAATTTAACTCATAAGGTTTCCATTCATATTCTGGATCCATGCCTGAATTAGGTAGCTATAGTTTAAGAGTTTTAGAGTTTGTTGGCTTCTTTTAAATAGTCAGCAGGGGGTGGGGAGGGGCTCATCCACCATGGATGAAAAAACTACATTAGGAATAGATAAATGGGGGGGGGGGCTTCTCATGGCTTCTATGTGCAAAGTATGCCTAGGGCAACTTCCAGGAAATCCTCTGAAGTCTGCTTCCTAAGGAAAGTAGACAATCTCTGTATAGGGAGACCTATTGTGGGGATTGCATCAGAGAGAATAAGAAAAGTGCTTTTCAAGCTTTTGGTGTACACCATAGCCTGGGGAGGGCTTCTGAAAGCAGATGACTGGGCCCAAACCAACATTTCTTATTTTTTTATGTGGTATAAATCAGTTAAGAATTATTTTCTAGGCTTCCTATATTTTCCCTTTTTTATTAATTTTTTTAAAAAAAATGTCAGTGGAATGCATTATAATTTATTACACACATACAGCACAATTTTTCATATCTCTGGTTGTCTGTAAAGTAGGTTGACACCAATTTGTGTCTTCATACATGTACTTTGAATAATGATGTCTATCACACTCCACCCTCCTTGCTAAGTCCCTGCCCCAAGCATTTCTTATTTCACATGCCAGGGACCCATGAATTGTGTCTTTAAGAAGTTTCCAGGCAATGATGTGTCTACTGTTCTGGGGCCCCCTTCTTTGATAATCACAGCAGAGCTTACCATATCAGAATTAAGGTGACTTGAATGCACAACTAATGTTACAGTGGTTTAAACAAATAAAATGCTTATTTCTCTTTCCCACATTGAAACAGAAATAGGTTTTCCAGGCTCAGTATGACTCTCCACAGGGTGAGAAAGTTGGTCCAGCAACTATTCTACTCTGCATTGTATTGCCTTCATGTCCAAGGTCAATTAACGATCCAATAATGACTGTTCCAAATGTAATAATTATATCCACAAGTGGAATCAACTGCAAGAAAGAGAGACAAGAACCATGACTACTTCTTTCTCTCTTTTTTAGGAAACAGTTTTATTTATATTTTTAAAATATTTTATTAGTTGTTGGTGGCCCTTTATTTTTTATGTGGTGCTGAGAATTGAACCCAGTGCCTCACACATGCTAGGCAAGCGCTCTACCACTGAGCCACAACCCCAGCCCCTATTTATAATTTTTGATACAATTGAACATGTTAAGAAATTATCTTCCTTCTAGCCAAGTGCAGTGGCCCACACCTGTAATCCCAGTAGCTTGGGAGGTTGAGGCAGAAGGATTGTGAGTTCAAAGCCAGCCTCAGAAAAAGTGAGGTACTAAGCAACTCAATGAGACACCCTGTCTCTAAACAAATATAAAATCTTTGCCACCCACACCTCATATAAGTCATTAATTTCTAGAATATGGAAAAAATTCAAAAAGCTTGACATCAAAAAAAAACAAATAACCTAATCAAAAATGGGCTAAAGAACTAAACAGTTCTCAAAAGAATAAATATGAATATTCAACAAATACACGAAAAAATGTTCATCTCTAGCAATTAGAAAAAAGCAAATTTAAAGTACACTGATATTTCTCCTCTTTGTCTTTAAGGGCATGTCCATGAAGTTCCATGAGACATATTTTCTCACAGCTCAGAATGATATATAAAAAAGAGCAAATAATTAGAGAGATATACTATATTCATTGACACAACTTTATATTGCAAGGTTGTCAGTTATCTTTAAGTTAATCAGTTAAATATAGACTCCAATAAAATAACATTAAAATGAATCCCAGAGTTTTGAGAAATTGACAAATTGATGCAAAAAAATTCATATAAAATGAAAGTCTGATATAGGCAAGTATTTTGAAGAAAGAAGAGACAAAGGAAAGGAATATGTTCAATCACACTAAAATGCATTACAAAACCCACAAGAATAACATAGTGTGCAAAGTGGGGTAATCACCTCTGAGGGAACTGAGGTGTGCAGCAAATATTTATGGATTTGTTGGGTTCATTTTTTTTCTTCCTTCCTACCTCCAGTGAGGTAACCTGATAGAAAGTTTTATTTTCTGCACACATTGAATCAGATAGCCTCTGGACTTAGGGAGTTCAGTCATGACTGAGGGCATGGGTGAAGCATCATAAAAAAAAAACAGGCAATAAGTGGAAAAGTGCAGACTAAAAAAAGAGTCCTCTAACCCCATCCTGAGGGCTTCTAGTCAAGTGTCACTCTCCTACTCTCCAGTCCAAAATTCTAGGCTCACTCTCTGGAGTATTTTGGCCTCTGGGGGAATAAATCCACCTTTTGTTTTTGACAAAAGTACAAATCCACTTTTGTTTATTTACTTTTCTTTAGTTCAGATCTTTAAGGAGCACAGTATCACAAGGATTGAATGAACAATGGTTTTAGCAGGAAGATAGCTTCTGAATTTGACTTGAACTACGCCACTGTTTCAATGGACAGATTATCCAGGTTTTGTTTGGCTTTTACTTGCAGGAGTCCCTGAGTTGTTTTTCACTTTGTGCACATTGTCACATCTCTTGTACAAGTAGAATTAAGTTTCATCTCTGGCATAAACACCTTCAATTTTAAGAAGAGCTGAGTGCTCTCATTGGTTCCAAAGACACTACTTGTAGCCAAAAAAAAAAAAAAATGACCTTGCACCACAATCTTCTACACATATTTGGCTTTTAGAAGTCCTGTTCCCAATAGGCCTCCACAGGCAGAAAGGGAAAGGCCAACTAAGTCACATATGGCAACACTAATGCTGCATATAAAAACTTCCAGCTCCAGTGACATGTTATATAAGCTGTGGTAGCTTAGCCGGGGAAACTGTGCTCCACATGACTCTCATCCTCCTGCTCCCACCAGCCCTCCTGGCAAGCTGTTATCTTGCAATGGAAGAAGTGCAAAGGAGCAAAAATAAATATGCAAAACCCTTCAGGGCCAAGCCCAGAACTTGCACACCATCATTCCACCTTACTCTATTGGCCAATCAAATCACGTATGTAACCAAAGATACGGAAAGAGCTATCCCATCTCTTTTGGGGGAAGAAAAAGTCTAATAACAAAAGGTGTGAATACAGGGCCATTAACATGACCTATCAGAAACACCAAAGAATAGAATTAATGAATATAGATACTTGGGATTCCCATCAGAAGCAAAACCTAACTCTCTGCCTTATCAAACCTATACTGAATGTCACCAGAGACAGTTACACGCAAGTTTGTTGACTTTCTTTGAAGTAAGTCTTGCATATAAATGTCATTACTTACTTAAGTCTTATACATAAATGGGCAACCAAGGATCATCAACATTTGTATAAGGTTTCTAACATGAAATATTGAGACAAAAACAAAGACAAAGGAATTAAAAAAAAACCACTGGGGAGAGAAAAAGTAAAAACAACAACAACTGGGATTTAACCTAGGGGTATTTTACCACTGGGATTTTAAGAGCACATTCTCAGCCTTTTTATTTTTATTCTTTTATTTTGAGACAGCATCTCACTAAGTTGCTGAGGGCTTCTTTAAGTTGCTGAGGCTGGCCTTAAACTTGTGACTTGCTTCAGCCCTCCCAAGTCACTGGGATTACAGCTGTGCACCACCATACCTGGCTTGGCTAATAGAATTTCTAAGAGCAGAAAATTAAGAACATTAAAGAGTAGAAATTACCAAGAAATAAATACAAGAACATTTCCCAGAGTTGAATGATATGAATTTCTAAACCAATCAAGTGTCCAAAACAATGAATGTGTAAAGGAAGGAAGGGAGAAGATATCATTTCTATATTTTTCATTCTGAACTTTCATAACAGGGTTAAATAGAAGTTCCTAAATGTTCCAGAGAGAAAAAAAATAGGTCTGAGTTTGGAGAGAAAGGAAACAGATAATTAAAATAAGACTTAAAAAGAAATTAGAATTAAGTCCTCAAAATTCTGAGTGAAAGTAACTTTCCATCTGAAAGTTGATACTTCATAAAGTCACCAATCAGATTTGAGGGTAGAAAGAAGTCATTTTCAGACATGCAAGTATCCTTAATTTATATCCAGGCACTCTTTTCTGGGAAGATTTCATAGGATGTGCTCTATGAAAATTAGATATGACATCCAATAAGAGGGAGACCTGGTATGTAAGATTGTGCTCCTCTCACTTAGTGAAGATCTTAGTGTAAACAGTAAATCAGAATCTAACAGAAAGCTTGCAACCCTGGATGAGAAAATATTTGTTTAAAAAACTGCTTTTTCCAGAATGCCTGTCCCTGGTGTCTTTGGGATCAAGTGGGAAGATGGGAACCTGCATTAGACTTACTTGGGAGGCAGAAGGCATTCCTGCAATGATGAATGGAGACAGATACACACAGAAATATGTCCAGACCCTTCTAGTTTTTATTCCTTTCCCAGTTCTGCATCCATGTCTTCTCCTTGCCTACTAACCAAATGCACCCCAGTCCAACCACATGATGCTTGACTACGTACCCAGCCAGGCAAAGCTTTCCTGGACCTCTCCTGACCTTCCACTTCACAGTGTCATTTCAGCGATTGGATGTGTCTGGTTCCCCTGGAAGCTCCAACTAAGTCACCCAACAGGGCTTTGATAGGACTGCCCAGTGGCCTTTCCTTGGTCTGTCATTCTGTGCTTCCAGATCTTCTCTTCTCAGCTGCTGGCACAATTGAATAAGGTCTGATTACTACAGCAATCCTTTATCTTATAGGGGCTCTGCATCCTGGATGAAATCCAACCTGCTACATGTGGAATCTCATACTAGGGGGTCTTCCCAGGAGAGGGAAAGGAAATGGTGAAGGGCCCTATAGAAACATGACATGGCAGTACAGCAGCTAAAGCAGATGAGAGAGAAAGGCAACAGGGCTCCAGGAAAAAAGGAAATTATTCCAATAACAAGTTTGTGAATAGTTTGGGGAAGAATTAATAGAAACAAGGTAATCACTAGCTCCAAGAAGAACGAGAAGTTCATGAATGGAAATATACCCTTGTTGAGCCTTGAACAGTATACATGATCACAATGAGGTGACACTAATTACTAATTTTGCCTTAAAAAGTGTGGCTATAATTATACTGAGAGGAGGAAGAAAGGCAGGAAAGGTAAGTCTTTATTGGCATGAAAAGAAGACCATGGAGAATAAAGATAGAGAATAAAAATTTTCAAATATAGCATGTAATTGAGGTAAATCACAGGACTATATAAAAGTTAAAAGCAGTTGTCTCAGCCATAGGTGAAATTGTTGGGAGGAAATAAGGCAGGAGGTTGCCAGTTGCTTTTGCTTTTTTACTTACTTGTGAGCAACATAGAGTAAATTTTAAAAACTAGCTTCATGAAGTTTTTTTTTATATTAAAATTAAAGTTAAGTTTTAGGAGACCTCAAACTAAAATTAAAGCTGTCTGTGGAATGAAAGAACAAAAAAACAAAAAAGGTAAAAGTCAGAGAACCATCTGGCAAAGGATATTAGCAAAACTTTTATCCAAGAAAGTCAGACGAGAAAAATGGATGTCAATAGAAAAACAGACCAAAGACAAAATGGGCCAGTCGACACAGAGACGCCAATGGCCAATAGGCACCAAAGAAAAGAGTTAGAAGACACTGAGCAGGTACCAGGACCCAGCACCACCCAGGCTCTTTGCCCGCAGGAGTTCACCTAGAGCCACAAGAGGGTGGTGCTGTCTCTTCATGAGGCAGGAGACAGATACAAGAGCCCAGAAGACTTGCCCAGGTGCATTCAGCCTATAGGAGACTCTGCCAGGATTGGAGCCCAGGTACAGTGTCAAGTCCCTCTTCAGAGAAACACATATGAAAATATCACATGTTCAGCAAAAAAAAAAAAAAAAACAGGAAGCTGGGCACAGGTTAGGCTAGCGGTGCCACTGTGGAAAGCAATCTGTCTAGACCTAGTGGTATACAGTTGTAACCTGTCCTGTGAGTCAGCAGGGCCATGCAGGATGTGTACTCTAGAAGATACCTCCCACAACTGCTTGGGGACATCAGCAAGCCACTGATCTTGGCAGGGTGCTGCAGAGAATCACTGGAGGTGACAGGGATCTTAACTCATCGATGCAGAAGACAGGAGATATGCTGGCCGTGGGTCCCTGGTCCGTCAGTGCCTGTTCTGTCAAATTGTATACATGTCAACATTGTCCTCATGAAAAGGGATTTCATGATGCTGTGCAGGGAAACAATGGGGAGTTAGAATGTGCCCCCAGCATGGCCCTCAGTCACAGTCGCATGGTCACAACAACATAGAGACTAAAATCATGATCTGACCTCAATTTCAAATCTCCTCATGGGAAGGTGAGGGAGATAACTGGGTTGTCTGAGGAAGGACAGAAGCCAACCAGCTCTCCTTCCATGTGGGAAAAGGTGATAGTGTCTTGAATGAGGAGGCCACGTCTCGGCTGGGAAATGCAGTCAGAAGTGGCAGTGGAAACAGCCAGAGATGACTGGTTGGCAAAAGGTTGGAGGACCAATGGGCCCTTGAAACATGACCCACTTCCATCACTTGAGGACTCTACAGTGGGATGGGGAACTGCTCTCCTACACAGTGACTTCTCTTTGGAAAAATCTCCTCTGTCCCAAGAAGATTCAGACACGGAATGGAAGGGCTTGTGTTATGGAACACAGATTGGTAAGCTAAGCTGAGCCAGTGAGTCAGAGTAGTGAGGAGCCCCGTGTTCCTTCCTGTGAAAACATGGACTACTCTGCTTGTGACTGATAGGATGAGTCCAAGGGTGGGACAGACCAGAGAGGTCACCCGTGGGCCAGAGCAGACCCAGTCCCTGAGGACTCCCATCTATCCCTGGAAGGAAGGGGAAATGGGCAGGTGTCTTCTCTCCATTCGTTATTTGTAAGCCTGAAGAAAACCAACCTGGTCCCTGGGTAACAGTTGCCCTTGTGACATCATGGCCATCTCCTCCACCACCCATCCTGTCCCTGATGGGATCAGAGGAAAAGCCACCAGCGGGGGATGACCACCTGAGCATCTGCCCCCCACCATGGGCTCTAAAGCTTGTGTAAGACTCCATCAGACTCACTGCCCCAGGGATGGGGAAATGTCCATGTCAGAGGGAAGCCCAGGAAAAAAAAAATGGGGCCCTGGGGCTGTGGGGATTTTGCACAGAGGCTGTCCTCACCCTATGCCCCCTCACCGTTTTGATTGCAGAAATGTGGTCCAGAAATACACATAGTTGAAAACAAGAGGCAAGAGAAGGTAGGTGGAACCAAGAAGCATGAAAGAACCAGAGGTCTTTGATTCCCCCTCTTCACCTTAGGGTTCCTAGAAGTGGAGGAGCCATCTCTGCTCCCACAGGGTTGGCTCAGCATTGCTCTCCTGTCCCCTAAGTCCCCTCACTATCCTGGGTGAACTGTGCACAGACCATATGGAAGGTGGCACAGTGCAATGTGAAATGGAAAGGCAGGTGAAGGACAGGGAGTAGACGGAGAGGCAGGAGCGGACATCCACAGAAGTGAGGTAAGGGAAGACCCCAGAGGGCTGTGGCACCCCAGGAGGCTGTAGGAGGCAGCATGACAGGCTGAGTTAGAACTAAGATGCAGCCCATAAATGCAGAGGTACTTCCTTGTGAGGATCCCTTGGGTCTTCGCGGTCTGCAGAGGGACTTCTGGATCAGAAAGTATTTGCCCTGGCTCCGTGAACCTGTGAATCCACAAGGCAAGCCCATACCCCATTTCATAGATGAGGACTCTGTGGCTTAGAAGGTGAACAGGTATGTCCACACCCATGGATAAGACAGAAGTGGAGGCCAAACTCTATACCCAACTTTCCGGGGTTTTCAGAACCACCAGGGAAAGGGCTGTTAAGAAAACTACCCTGTGTTTGACGGTGACACATTCACTGGACATTCCTCTGCTTTGCTTGGTTAGTCGCGCCTTAAAAAACGCCGCAAAAGAAGGATTAAGGCAGCTAAGAAGATTCAGGCCTGGTGGCGTGGCCACCTGGTACGACGGACCCTGCTTGTCGCTGCCCTCAGGGCCTGGATGATTCAGGGCTGGTGGAGGATGATTCTGCTGAGGCGGGCATATAAGCAGCAGAAATTACTTCTGAGGCTGTATGTAATCCAGGAGAAGTCAGTTGTCAAGCTCCAGTCCTGTTTTCGAATGTGGCAGTGCCGTCAATATTGCCAACTGGTCCAAAATCTCCCTGAGTTCCAGACCCCAGAGAGCAACCTTATCTTCCAGAACAATGAAGTTCTGCAGGTACCAAGTAAAGCCGTTTCCAAGGAACCAGAGTTCCACATTGAAATTGTATCAATCTAAAGGCCTGCAGCATCAAGAATTGGCTCCAGTGCCTCAATAAATGTCTGACTTGATTTTGTGATTCTTATTGATTGCCACAACCAGGAGGACCTCAGGGATTCAGGCTTTACCCTGTCCTCTACTTGGGGAAAGTCTTCAATTCAGAGATCTCTTCCACACACACACCCCTACACACAAGTTCCTATGATGCCTTCTCGGTCTGGTTCCACATTCAAACCAAGAAATTGTTGCCCAAGGCTGACTGCATATGTGCAGATCCGGTGTCCCATTCCTGTTTTCTGAACTTGTAATTGGAAGGAATTGGGATTTAAATTCCTGATGATTCTGGGTACCTCTTCTAAATGCCCATAGCAACAATATTCACATTAGCCACCTTGTTCTTTCATTATTTATTGCTTTCTATCTGCTAAGACAAATGTCAGAGAACTATGGCCTAGAGCCAAATAGTTGCCCCAGAGACTGCGTGAACATCCGTCCTAATATACCTACTATTTAGCTCTTTATAGAAAAATTTGTGTCAACACTGCTATAGAGCCACTGATTTCTTCTATGGTTATTAGTGCATATTTTACAAAATAGATTTCCTTGTGACAATTTTATACATGCATATAACATACGTTGATCATATCCATCCTCCCTCCTTCCGTCTTAACCCACCTCCCCCTGGGTCCCTTCTCTTTCTCTCATAGTCCTTCTTCTACTGTTATGCTCTAATTGATTCCATAATTTGACTGGTGTAAAGAGTGTCACAGTAAACATGGATATGTTAGTATCTCTATAGTATGCTGGCTGATTCCTTTGATGTATACCCAGAGATGATATATCTAGATCATAGGGTAGTTCTACTTTTAGCTTTTTGGAGAATCTCCATACTGGTTTTCATATTGGCTCTACAAATCTACATTCCCACCAATAATGTCTAAGTGTTGCTCCCCCACCCCCCATACCCCACATCTTCACAGCATTTGTTATTTTTTTGTTTTCTTGATAATAGTCATTCTGACTTTGGTGAGACTGAACCTCAATGTAGTTTTGATCTGTATTTCTGAGGGCTAAAGATATTGGGTATTGGGCTGGGGATGTGGCTCAAGCGGTAGCGCACTCACCTGGCATGCGTGCAGCCTGGGTTTGATCCTCAGCACCACAAAAACTAAAAAATAAATATTCTCTTTTTAAAAAAAGATATTGGGTATTTTTTATATATTTATTGACTATTTGTGTTTCTTCTTTTGAGAAGTTTCTGTTCAGCTCATTTGGATTGGTGAATAAGAATCACTTTTATTGGATTACTTGGTGTTAAAATTCTAGAGTTCTTTATTATCCTGGATACTATTCCTCTTTCCAAAGAATATCTGACAAAGATTTTCTTTCATTCTGTGAGCTATCTTTTCACTGTTGATTGCTTCCTTTGTTGTGCAGATGCTTTTTCGTTTTTCTCTTTTTTATTAGAACTTTATAGTTACACATAGTAGTTGGGTTCAACCTGACAAATTCATACATGCATAAAACTCAATTTCAGTTTGTGACCCCTCTTTTCTCCTCCCCTTTTCCCCTCACATCCTCCCTCCTTCCTGGTTCTCCTTTCTCTTAACAAACTTCCTTTCACTCGTCTATATATTTGATTAGTTTTTTTTTACTTATACATAAAGGTGAAGTTCCCTGTGGTATATTTATATATGCATATTATCATTTGGATGTGAGGTATCCCCCAAAAGCTCACATATGAGACAATATAAGAGAGTTCAGAGGGAAAATGATTGGATTGTGAGCTTCTTAACCCAATCAGTGAATTAATCCCCTGATGGGGTTAACTAAGTGGTATAATTGGAGGCAGGTGGGGTGTGGCTGGAGGGGGTGGATCACTGGGGGTGGTTTGGGGGGTATATATTTGTATTTAGCAAGTGAAGATGGATCCCTCTTTCTCTCTCCTTTCTGAAGATCATGTGAGCTTCTTCCCTCCACCCACTCATTCACCATGATGTCCTGTCTCACCTTGAGCCCCATGGAATGGAGACTACTGTCTATGGACGGAGACCTCTGAAACCATGAGCCCCCAAATAAATTTTTCCTCCTCTGCAGTTGTGCTGGTTGGGTCTTTTGGTCACAGCAGTGAAATTGTTGACTAAAACAATGCACAAATATGATTTTTTAAGAGTTCTTTTTCGTGGTCTCCCCTTTCCCATCCCTCCACTCTACCTCTCGATCTCCTCTCCCTTACCTTTACTTTAATGCCAGCTTCCTCAAATGAGAGAAAATGTTCAACCTGAGTTTCTGAGCTTAGCTTATTTCGCTTAGCATGATATTCTCCATTTTCATCCATCTACCAGCAAATGCTATAATTTCATTCTCCTATATGGCTGAGTATAGCTCCAGTGTACATATATACACCACAATTTTGTAATCCATTTGTCTATTGACAAGCATATGGATTGATTCCATGATTTAGCTACTGTGAATTGTGCTGCTATAAATATCAAGGTGTCTGTATTGCTGTGGTAGGCCAATTTTAGATCTTTGGGGAAATTACCAAGGAGTGGGATAGCTGGGTCAATATACTGGTTCCATCCCTAGTAATTTTAGAGAATCTCCTTACTGATTCCATATACTAGTCTGCAGTCCCACCATCAATGAACAAGTGTTACCTTTTATTATTAATATATTAAAAATTATTATTAAAATGATCATTGCCATTTTGACTGGAGTAAGATAAAATCTCAGTGTAGCTTTGATTTGCATTTCCCTGTTTGCTAGAGGTGTTGAACATATTTTCATATAGTTGTTGGCCATTTGTGTTTCTTCTTCTGAGATGTTTCTGTTGAGTTCATTTACCCATTTATTGATTGGATGTTTCTTTGTGTTGTTTAGTTTTTTTTAGTTGTTTACATATTCTGAATATTAATCTCCTATTGGAGGAGTAGCTGGCCAAGATTTTCTCCCATTCTGCAGGCTCACTCCTCATGCTCTTAGTCATTTCCTTTGCTGTGCCTAGGATTTTTAGTTTGATGGCATCCCACTTATTGATTCTTGGTTTTAATTCTTATGCTTTGGGGGACTTGTTAAGAAAATCAGTTCTAACCCTATGGAGTGTTGACCCTAGGGTTTTTTCTTAGCTGTTGTAAGGTTTCTGGTCTAATTCCTAACTCTTATATCCATTTCAATTTGAGTTTTGCACATGGTGAGATAAGGTAATCTAGTTTCGTTTTTCTACATATAGCTATCCAATTTTTTTCAACACCATTTGTTAAAAAGGCTGTCTTTTCCCCAAAATATATTTTGGGCACTTTTGTTGAGCATCATATGGCTGTAGGTATGTGGATTTGATTCTGTGTCTTCTCTTCTGTTCCATTGGTTTTTCATGTCTATTTTGATGCCAATAACTTGTAGTTTTTGTTACTACTGCTCTGGAGTATAATTTCAGATCAGGTACTGTGATGCCTCCTGCTTTACTTGTCTTGCTTAGTATTGCTTTGGCTATTCTGGCTCTCTTACTCTTCCAAAAGAATTTTTTAAAAATGTTTTTTCTAATTCTATGAAGAATGTTATTGATATTTTGATGGAAATTGCATTGAATCTGTACATTGCTTTTGGTAGCATCACCATTTTGACAATACTAGTTCTGCCTATCCAAGAACATAGGATGTCTTTTCATCTTCTAAGGTCTTCCTCAATTTCTTCCTTTAATGTTCTATAATTTTCATTGTATACCTCTTTTAACAACTTGGTTAGATTAATTCCAAAGCACTTTTTTTAGGTTATTGTAAATGGATAGTTTTCCTGATTTCTTCCTTCGCTGACTCACTGTTGGAGAATAGGAAAGCTATTGATTTATTTGTGTTGAGCTTGTATCCTGCTACTTTGCTGAACTTGTTTATAAACTCTAGAAGTCTTCTGGTAGTTTTGGGGTCTTCTAGGTGTAGGATCATGTCATTAGCAAACAAATAGTTTGATTTTTTTTCTTTTCCTATTTTTATCCCTGTGATAGCCTTTTCTTCCCTGAACATTCAATAAACATGAACTTGATTTGGCTTTAAAGCAAATGGCAGGTGTCAACTATATTATTCACAGCGGTAATAACTGCATCATCATCAATGGTGGGGACAGAAGTTATATAAACCAATTCGTTCTAAAATGTGGTAAAATTACAGTTAATTAGGAGAAAAAATAAAATCTACTGGAAAGTAGAAAAGAGTTTTCAATTTCAAAAAGAGGTCAGAGAGAATGCAGAAGAAATGTAGCAGCTGGAGGTTATAAGGAAGGAGGAGGAATAATTGGAGATGCAAAGTAAAGGGAGAGAGGAAGAGAACAATGGAATTTGACTGTTAGGATAAGAAAAGAGACACAAGAAAAACAAATGAAAAAAAAATACAAAACAAAACAAAAATATACAAACTTCCCAAACCCTAACCCTCAAAAGACAAGGACAAATAACTATATTTAAAAATAAGGAGTAAAGAAACAAGTATCCATAGGTAGATATATATATATATATATATCCTCTGGACCAATCAGCATAATAATACTTTACACACACACACACACAGAGAGAGAGAGAGAGAGAGAGAGAGAGAGATTCTTAATGAAAAAAATGAAGAAATTATCTCTACTGATTTGGTCAAAATAGTTGAATAAAGTGAATGGCCACTGTCTATGCCATTTCTTCTTTAGCTATGTACTGATAGAAAGAGCAAGGGGTGGAGGTTGTTAACCTCTTCCTATTTTTGTGCTGCTCTCTGAACTGCCAATTGGAGTGGCCTAAGACTGAAGTTGCTTGACTTTAGTCTCAGCTTTTCTCCTTACCAGTATGAGCGGAATGGGTTAGGAAGCACTGTCAGTTCGAATTTCATCCATACAGATCAGATTGGTGCATTCCCAGACCTTCTGCTTCTGCAGAGTTCTATGACGGGAGTCCAGCAGGTGGGGCTTAGATCCATCCAGGCTTCAGTGGCTTGGGTGGTGTCTTCTTTGTAGAGATTAAATGGACACACCCATAGGGTCTGGCAGTTGTCAATCTCTGATGGGAGTTTGGATCTCTGGAACCTCCCAAGAATTCCAC